TTCCCTGCCTAACAACCTGAGGCTGTTTTAGCATTTGATCCCCTTCCCTTTTTATCACCTTTTATCATCGTCCTGCCTCCGGGTCTCTAGCTCTAGTGTCCCTTTCTTCTGCATCCTCTTCACGCTGCCAATGATTACCACTATCTCATTGACCACACAGACACTCCCAGCTCCTTTTCTGCCCTTATATCCTACCCATTTCTGCTGCCCCTCACCATCACCATCACCCCTGCAGCTTTGCTCTGAGCACCTCAGACACTCCCACGAACCCCAGAGTGTCCCCGCCTTGGAGCCTTGCCTGGCCCCAGGCGCTCAGACCTGGACGAGTCACGAAGCCCCGTGATGGTTCCTGCAGGTGGGGAGCCTGGCACACAGGCAGTCAGGCAGGTCAGAGCACAGGGCTTCTTAGCTACCCTTCAACTGGCTCTCCCTTCAGATAGTCATGTGTATCAGGGGAGTCGCCCAGCTCCTCAGCTAGAATATCGTCAGCTCACAGAGTTGGAAAGAATTGTATGAAGTGCTTCCAGTCTAACTTCCCTCCAAAGAAAATGAACCCCAGTCCCTTATCACATGCCAGATGGAGGCTTTTGTCCCGCGTGGGATAACTTCGCGGGAGTAGTGCGGGGATTCTCAAACCCATTGTTGACATAAAAATCTAGAACTTCAGCCCGTTGATCCTAATTTGTCTAAACTAGTACTTCTCAAAGTGTGGTCCGAGGACCCTGCTTTCAAGGATTCTGTGAGGTCCTCTCTTCTCCACCTCCATAACTGTGTGAGGCCAGATTTTCTTCACATACTTCGACAAAAACACATTTCACCACTGACTGAGGGAACTGACGTCTGATTCAAGCTGTCTTCTCAGTTCTTCGAATTCTTTTGTTTTAGAAAACAGTTCTTTTTCTTAAAAAAAATGATAAAATAGGTCTATTGTTATTTTAAAGTGAATGAATAAGGCATTAGATTGATAGCTAATATTCTGTTTCAAACAAAAGGATGCACAAATTTCTGATACAAGAAAAATCAGTAGATACAACCAACACAAACAAAGGCTCTTTGGCATCTTCATTGTTTTCTAAGAGCATAAATTTGAGAGTCTTTCAATTATATGAACGTATCCTTCATGTCCTCCTTCATGTCTCACCTTTTCTGGGGAAATTCCTCCAGTTTCTCCAACAGGTCCCCCTCTAGCTACACCACAGCTGTCAGCGACTCAGCACAGGGCACCCAGAGAAGGACACGGAGCCTCAAGGGCTGAGCCAGGGAACTGCCTCTCTCGTCCTAAATTCTCTGCTGCTGTGAAAACATCTCAAGTTCCATTTGGGGGAAGCTCTGTCTCACTATCAGCTCATCTTCTACTGAACAAGACAATCACTCAAGTTCCCAGGGCTTTTTTTTTTTCACTCTTGTGTTTCTACGGAAGCATGTCACCCCAATCCTGTCTTGGTGCAACTAAGCGTTTGAACTCAGCTTAGAATGTCACAGTTATCTCTATCACATTCTCCCTTAGTGTAGTCCACAGCAGTCTTCCTGAATCTTAATTCAGCACTGAATGCATTCACTGTCTGTCATCCGCAAAATTGATTAACATGCCACCTGCCTGCATTCCAGCCACTGATAAAAACATATCACGTTGGGACTGAACTTCATAAGCCCCACCCAATACCCCATCTGTGTGGAGGGCAATCCACAAACAGACACAAGCAGCTACGTACAGACCTAATGAAGTTATCAGCCTCAGTATTTTCATCCTCTCCTGCACAGGACTTCGAACTTACGACCCATGAGAGATTTTTGCTGCCCTCTCCCACTGTGCCCTCCGGCCACAGATGTAATCTGGCACACCTCCTGTTGAAGCCACCACCTCCACTGCAGGGGAACTTCTTTAATTAGAAGGCGTACTCTATGTTAGACGCTGTGCTATGTGTTGGAACTACAAAGATGACTCGGGTATTTTCAGATTCTAGAACTCTGCTGCCAAACGCCTGCCTTAGTGGGTACCACGCCCTCTGCTTCCAGAGTAGTCAGTGATGCTACTGCCTCCTTGGGTCCCCACAACCAGACCCCGCCCATCCTACTGGGCCCTCTGATCCTGGATGGAAGCCCCCGGCGCTGTGCTGCTGATGATTTAGGTTAGGACTCGGTGGCTTTTCCTCGGAACCATCCTTTTGCTGTCTGGCTTCACGGGACCTTGAGCTCTGTTTGATCAGATAAGCTTCACCGGCCTGGAAACCTAACCATGGAGTTGATGTTGCTTCCAGGAGAAGAGGCTGCCAGGTCCCAAACAGAGATCTCACACAGCTTTGGAGGGTAATCCATCTGTCAGCGCGGGACTGTGGATGCTTCTCCGGGGTGACTGCGGTGCCCAGGACCTTCTCTGACAGCCCTCGTGCGACGGGCTGCGGGCGCGGCGACCCCTTCGGCACAGCAGCAGCCGCTCCCCGCGCGCCCCCGACTCGCTGCAGCAGGAGGAGGTGCTCCCCGGGACGTGCGCAGCCCTCGGCGCGAAGCCAGGCCCGCGGACGGCAGGTGCGCCGAGCCCCCCGGCTCCAGAGGCCTGCTGCCTGTCAGACGGCCGCCGCCTCCTAAAAGCTGCACCAGAGTCACTGGGGAGAAACCAGAGGACCGAAGGGCCACCTGCGCTTCCGCCCCATAAAACTGGAAAGCCCTAAGGGCCACGCGTCCCGGCTCCCGCTTAGGTCTGGGGCTGGTGACTTCCAGATGTGCAGGGAACAGAAGCCAGAACCATTGCTCGGATCCTAGAGCAGAGATGGTCTGGGCCCTCACGCGGAGCGCGCCTTACCAGGGAATGTTCCAGGCCTAGCTTTGCCATGACCTCACCCCGGCCCCTGAGCCGCGGCAGAAGTGACAATGACGCCCCCTTGCGATAAACAGATGGTGGTTACCTGCAGGCTCTGCTGCCTGCCAGCCTGGGCTTAACATTCAGCCCCGCCACTCCCCGTGCTTCAGTCTCCTCACCTGTGAGGTGGGAGCACACCTGCACCTCACAGGGTCACTGTGACTGAATACCGGCAAGGTGCTTGGTCAGCGCCTGACACTGCGCTCACTGCTCTTGGGAACTGTTAATGGTTTCAGATGTTCACCCTGGAAATTGTTCAGAACCAATACCTCTCTTAGACACAGACTGTTTCTATAACATGACCCAGCCAGGACCGTCACAAAAATAATTCCTTGTTTTCTTATGGGCGCCTCTTACATTTTTCAGAGTGATTTTATACACGAGGTAAATCCTTCGTGTGAGGCAGGGCAGGACAAGTCCTTACGACCTCGGCTTCCCACAGGAGAAGACTGGAGATCAGAGAAAACAGCAAGCCCCCTAGACTCAGATTGGGTCTCCTGACTTCTTTCTACGCCACACCACACCATTACTCCCTGACACCAGAATACAAATGTTCTCACCAATCTACTTCTCATTACTACCAAATCCCAAAGCACCAAGTCTGAGCTGGCCCAGTGTTGTTTTTTTTTTTTTTCCAGCCTTCAGCTTTTGGATGAAAGTGATTTGGTTCAAACTTGTCCCAAACAAGTGAAAGGGGCACTAACAGAAGGATACGTCTCCTGGACAGGAGTAAGAGGCTTGGAATTCTCTCATGTCAGAGAACTCTTTATCTCCTACTGAAGTAACAGAGCACCCAGCATTCTCATCCTACCTCACACTCAAGGGCAAAAACTGAGATGTCACCAGCACTTTTTTTTTTTTAGGAAAAGGGCAAAGTACATGTCTTTACCAGTAGGTGGCAATAGAGTAATGAGGCGAAAGAAGCTAAAGGTTTAAACATATGAATCATAAATATTTTGAACTTGGAGTTCATCCCACCCAAACTGCTAATGTTACTCAAAAAGAAATTAAGGTTCGCAGAGGGCATGTGACTTGTTCAAGGTCCTACTCCTGGTTAATGGTTGAACCAAATTAAACTCAGTTCTCATCATTACACCAGAACATCTTTCAAAATAGCCTGGCATCTTTTAATCATGTGCAGGAAAATATCACTTCCTTTGAGTGTGTTAATAATTGCAGCATGCAGGAGAGCTGATGGCCTTTAAGAAATGAAACAGTTGGTTACACTCTCAGCCTGAGAGCTAAAGGCAACGGGTGGCAGTGGGTAATGAGGAAGGGAGAGAAACAGACTTTTTGTGTCTTTATGAGGTTTCCTAACATGTCTGTGCTGCCTCTGAGCGCCTCCCAGATGTAATTCTCCCAAAGAGATCAGGGACTGTTGGGCAAGAACCTCCCCTTCCCGACCACCCCTTCCACTGTATCAGCACCAGTTGGGGGCGGGGGGCGTTAAACAGAATGCCAGGTGCCGTTTTGCTCCATTCTGCTTGAGGTGAAAAGGAGAAACTCAGGAAATGAGTGGACTGGCTGCTCCCTGAAGGGGCCACATTTGTCCTGTGTGGTTCCAAGAAAAGAAACACAAACAGATAGTGAGACAGATGTACCCAGAATGATACTGGCCACATTTTGGGTGCTTACTAAGTATGATGGATGGGTGGATGGAAGGATGGATGGATGCACAAAGATTTCAGCTCAATCCAATGAAAAGTTTTCTCACAGTCTCAATAATCCAAGAAGAAGTTCTCTGCTTTGGTTGGGAATGTAATGAGTTTCCTATCTCTGGAGGTATTCAACACCAGCCAACCACTCACTTGGTAGGGATGTTATAGAAGCAGGCTGAGGGGTTTGGTTCAGATTGCATGAGCTTTTAGGTCCCTTTGAATCCCAGGATTCCTATTATTCCATGATTCTCGGTGCATAGCGAACAGAAGGAAAGAGTAAAGATGTTTTTGTCTTCGGCTTTAAGAGCTTTAAATGAGAAAATCCCGCAGATTTCAGGTTGCTTCATCCCAAAGGCTGGTCTCATGCTTCTTTACTGAGCTTTCTGCCACAATTAGAAAACATTATCATTCTGACAATTCACCTGAGAGCTTCTTGTGGTTTCATCTAAGTAATAAGTTTGTTTCTTTTTAATTTTGACAAGCAGGGGAGCCTGACTTGTGGAAACCTGGATCAGTCCTTCTAGATGCAGGTAATTATACAGCCCGACCTCCTGGCCGTGACTGGATCAAGATTCCTAGGATTACAGAACTAGGAGGGTCTAATTATCCAGCTGGTGGCACAGAGGCCAAGCTCAGCTGCAGAAGCCTTTCCAACAGTGTCCCCTCCGACGTCAGCATCTGGTGACCATGCAAAGGGCACACTGAAGCTCCCACAGGGAGGCTTGGGCCAGGGACAACACTGGATCACAAAGGGGAAAGGAAACATGAAGACAAAAAGGCAGAAGGGAGTGAGTTCCCAGCCCTCAAAATGAGTTAGACTTTCACTCCACCTGGGAGCACACTTTGATTTCCTTCTATTTATTCTTCCTCTTTGCAAGTGGGATGCAGGTTTCCCCTTCACGTGAATGAGTGTTGCTCCACATTTACTGCATTTAGTGTTTGAAACTCCAGGGCAGATTTTGCTGGGGCGGTGGGGAATGCGAGGTAGAAAAGAGGACCTGGGACTCGACCTGCATTTCTTCACCTCTGGGGGCTCTTGGCCAAGAAATGCCATTAGACACCCAAAGTGAAACTTTTTAAATGATGTGAGGAAGTAGGATGAGCAAGCTGACCTTTAATGGGAAGATGAAATCATGTGCTTTGCAAATTGGAAAAACTAACAAGCCAGGAGAAAGGTTACTGCAGCCAAGAGTGAGCAGAGTGCCCAGCGCCTTCCTCCACTGGGGGAGACTCTTGAGCGGGCGTCGCTCAGCGTCCCAGGAACAGGGAGACCTACTTCCGGTGCTGCAAGTTTCCCTCTGCCTGAGAAACTCATTGGCCTGACCAAGCCTAAAAAGACTCTTATTAATTGTCTTTATTTCTTTATATATTTGTGAACCCAGCTCCCAGGTAAACAGCTCTAAAGAAAATCCCTGAGGCTGAAAATCAACGCCTCCCCCCAACCCCAGCCTCTCCAAGAACTAAACCCTTTTGCTTTTGTACTCTGGTCTCAGCCTGCTGGAGGGGAAGGGTTGCATATCAGATCCTCTTATTTGTTTGAGTTGCTTGTGTCTCATCTCTTCCCCTCCAGTCTACACTCAGCCCCCATTAGACTGTCCTCTCCTCTCACTCATCTTTGTTCATCAACTCAATCACCAAAGGCTGACTGAGGATCGACATGGAGGAGGCACAGGAAAGGTTTATGTGCTGAGTGAGACACATGCCCTGACCTCGAGTTTTCAGAATTTCACAGAGGAACCATTCACACTAACAAAGTGCTTAATCCTCTCAGATAAGGAAATTAAGGCTCAGACAGAATCAGTTAACTGGCAGTAGGGGACAGCTCTCGATCCGCCTGACTTCAGATTGCCCCCAAGCACCCGGGCAAGCAAGCGAGCTGTGTCTCTAGTATCCTGTCAGTAAATATTCACGCATTCTTGTCTCTTAAGATGGGACAGAGTGGAGAAGAGCAGTTAGACACAAGCCAGCCCCTTGAGCTGAGTGTCCCCATCCCTGGGGTGAGGCCAGATGCTTCCTGTTCTTGTAAGTCACTGAAAGTTTTACTGTTCTTTCCAGGATTTGTTCCAAAAGAAGAATTAAGCACACAGTCTTTGGAACCAGTGTCCCAGGGAGATCCAAGTAAGTTAACTGACAACTAGAAACCCACAGTGGCTTTGACATCTGATCTGCCCTCTCTGCCTTCTACCCACTCGCTCCCATCCAAACCCGCCTCTCTCCTACCCCAGGTCTCTTTATCTCCTCTCTTCTGTCACTTTGTTCTAAGGGGAAAGGGAAGCTTTTGAAGGATTTAAACTACTGTTGTGCAAGAGGGGAAGAGGATCAGATGTTTAAAACATCACTATGGCAACAGGGGTGGGTGGTGTGGGGAGACAAAGGCGGATGAGAGGAGACTGGCTGGCCAGCGAGGACGGTGGTCTGTGGAGATGATGGTAGACAGAGCTCAGCGTGGGAAGTAGAGATGGAGAGAAATGGGCAAATTCAAGAGATAGAAAAGGAAGAATCTAGAGGGTTGGGGGTGGAAGTGTGAGACAGAGAGCAGTTAGAGATGCTGTGAGCAACTTGGATAAATGGTGCTGCCATGAGGACCACTGGAGATGGGGCAGGCTGGGGCAGGAGAGCGTCTGTCTATCACCTTCTGTAAGGCATTCGGTCTAGCAGAGGGTTAACTACCGAGATCTGACATCAGAAGGAACAGCCCAACTGAAAACACAGAGTTGGAAGATGATGGGCTGTAATTCATAACCAAAGGCTACGAGAACAGAAAATGTGACCTGGGGAGATGGGATAGAAAAAGAAACAGAGGAGTTAAACCTGAAGATCTTTAAGACGGGGCAGAAGAGAAGCCACCTGAGCATACCAGGAAGAGGGGCCAGAGAAGAAGAGGGAAGCCACGGAGGGAGTTGTGTTGCAAGCCAAGGAGAGTGCCTGAAAACTCCCCCAGAAAGTTGTAAGTCAGCTGCCAATGGGCTGTGAGTCTCAACTCAGCTACATGTCAGAATCACCCAAAGACCTTTTGAAAAAATGAAAAATGCCAACTGCTGCCTCGTGCCTCCTGAATTCAGACTCTCCCTAGATCTTGCTACTCAAAGTGTGGTCTGAGGACCAGTATCAGCGCCACCTGGGAGCTTGTCAGAAATGCAAACTGTCAGGCTCCACCCCAGACCTCCTTAAGGGATTCCTTGGCCCACTAACCCTTGAGAAGCACCGCCCACAGCAGGCATTTTTATCTGTTGAAGCTACATGAGCAACTCTGACACTTACCCAGGGTTAAGAAACACTGGCCAACACAAAGCATTAATCTGTAAAATTGTACCATGTTGAAAAAAATGAAAGCAATTAAGAAAATTAGTAGATTGATTCCTGTAGACACTCTGTCTTACCTTTTCTTCCTCCTCCTCCTTCTGCCCCAGTGACCATAATAAATTGCTCATGCTGAACATTTCAGAACCCAGATCTGTCCTTTTGTATTGATGTTGTCATCTTCACATCAGCGTGTTTCCATCTCAATGTGAGAAAGCCACTAGAGTCTCAGCGAGCCCATGCCCTGAGCCAGAGCCACAGTCGTTAACACGCTGTTGGACAGGAGCGAAGGTGATCCCGGTATCAGCCATCAGGCTAATGAGAGAAGAGAACAAAAGCAAATTGAGAAACACTTTCTTAAAACCTCTGAAATAAACACATCAATTCTGAACACAGTTCAAGATATAAGAAACAAGGAAAGAAAAATGGTCTGGGAAGAACCAAAATAGATGCTACAAAATCCATATACTATTTTTTTTAACTTCCAACTTCTTTTTTTTCCTTTTTTTTGGTGTCTTTTGTTCATTTTTCAGTTTTATTAGGTAGAATTGTTACAATTTGACTGCACATATACAATGTATTACATGTAAATACATATACACAATATACTTCACCTATTTTTTAAATTTATGTATATGTACTGTTCATTGTTTCTAAGAACATTTAGAGCTTTAGCTTTTTAGACTTACATAGTTATCAAAAGAGTAAAGCCAACCACAAAATAAGAATTAATTCAAAAAGATACATACCCCCTGCTATTAACAGCAACATTATTTATAATTGCCAAGTATCGTAAGTGCACTTCAACAGATGAATGAAAATCCACATACTTTCATTCATTTAAAAGGAAAACCCCCTTTCGTCCTTACTCTCATTAAGTTATTCCAAAAAAGTAATTTTTTTTCATGTAAAAAGGCATTTGAACTGATCGACTGACATCTGGAAGGAAAACCCTTCTAGGAGTGCTTCTCAAACTTTAAAGTGCATGCGAATCACCCTGGGATCTTGCTAAACTGCGGACCTGATTCTATAGGTCTGGGTGGAGCCTGGGTGCCCGCATTTCCAGAAAACAGTAGGCACGGGTGGGCGGCAAGCCCTAAAGAACACCACTGCCACCTGCTGGCGACATTTCACCTTGCAAGCCCGTATCTGGGAAAGAGCGGGTTGGCCCTGTTTGGCGAACACATGCCAAGGCCTAGAACAGTTCTGCTTCCCTTTTGCTTTACCCCGGGCTTTAGTGGCATCTTTGACTGAGTTTGCTTCTCCCAGTCTTCATCTCGAGGATCATGCTTGGCATGCTGCATAGGCAGTTTGGGGGGACACCAGCGGAACAAGAAGGGTGGCAGGCCCTGGATGTCCACGCAGACGGGGACTGAAAGCCTGCAAGTCCCTAGTGATCTGAGGCACTAATTCCAGATGGAGCGGAGTCTGCCAGGCCCAGAGAGGTCCCTGTCGTTGCCCACTTCTCCTCTGGTTTTGATTGCCATGCCCTGCAGCAAGAGAATAAAGCACTCTCAGATCGAATGTTCCCCTCAATCTGCCAAGTCTGTAGTATCACACTTTATGAAATAGTTCTCATCCGTTCTGCTTAAAACTGTGTCGACTCATGGTCATTTTCTTGCTTTCATTAAAAAAAAAAATCTCTCTGCCACAAAGCTCCTTCTTCTGGGGAATGGGAGGACTCCAGTCCCATTGAAGCAACACAACATGTAATGCAGAGAACAGAAGCCGAAAGTGGCCTCGCGGGCAGTCATGCGGCAGCGCTGAGACCCAGGCTGGTCTGGACAGCTGCATCCCTCCCACAGAAGGCAATGCTGGCCCCTCTGTCCTCCTCGACACTCCAGCCTAGAAATTTCTAACTTTGCAGTCTCTCTCTCTTCTTCTCCACCATGGAATTCTGTTCTGAAATATTTTTTTCCTCTCATCCTACAGTTGTTAAATAACTCATTCCTCATTTTTTATTTATCAGTGGGATATAGAACTCCCAATAAGAAGCCTCTGATCAGCACTGAATCATCAATTTCATTGAAATGAAATGATACAATTTCAGTCGAGAGCAAAGTACTAACTTCTGTTTGCTTGTGACTTTTTACCAATTCTTATTAGCCTCTGAAAGGTTGAAATGCCTTGCAGCCCCCCTCACCACCCCCCAACCCCATCATAACCTTTATCTGTTCGCAGAGGTCCAGACAGCCTAACCAGAACTGTCCTGATCTTTGTCACAACTAAAAGAAAGGGACAAAAATCTAAGATAGCTACAAACAAGTACAGATATCTGTCAATAAACGTGCATAATTTCTAGGGTTGCCCCACCCGGGAAAGTGAAGGATAAGACTGGTATCCATTTTTCATTCTACAATTCCTGCCCTCCCCTCAACACTGGTCCTGCAAGTCCTTTCCTGACTTTCACAGATGCCAACACACAATTCTAAAAAGTTAGGATGACAGAAAGACTACAGGCTCCCCCCACAAGACTCAGACTGGGTGAATTCCCACATCTGGGGGTCTGCACTTATACGGTCTGAGCCTAGGAGACTGTTCTGAGGGCCTTCTCAGACTTGACTGGGAGGTCACATCTTCTGAAGTATCTGGTTGTGTCTGATACAGAGAATTCTAAAGCAGTCGTGGACCTTGGTGCCCAGTGAAAACCTATTATGGATAGAAATCAATGAATATGCCTTGCATCTTGCTTTTCAAATTTCTCCTTTTGTTGGAATCCCAAGGGGATCTGGTGGAGGGAAAGAGCAGTGAATGCAGTGAGAGAGTCATGGACTAACAGAGTCCTTTTTCGTTCCTCAGACTGCAAGATCGACTTGTCGTTTCTCATCGATGGGAGCTCAAGCATTGGCAAACGTCGATTCCGAATCCAGAAGCAGTTCCTGGCTGACGTCGCCCAAGTTCTGGACGTTGGCCCTGCTGGTCCACTGATGGGTGTTGTTCAGTACGGGTAAGTGCTGTCTTGAATTCAGAAACTAAGGGATGTCCTGCGCTTAATTTTGTGCTGCAGAAAAGTACCAACATATCCTAGAGCACATCAGATTCCTTCTCTTCCCTGATACAAATATAAATGAAAGAAATTGAAGCAATCCAGAGGCCATGTAAAGAAACTCGAGACTTCCAGAAGGGCAGGATGGGTTAATCGAGACTTGTAAGTAAATGGTGTTTGCACTCCTGATTGGTAGAGAGAATAGTTTTCACTGCATGGCCTTGAGATAGGCCTTCACTTCTCCCGCCATCGGTTTCCTCATCTGTAGTTGGAGAAGGGGGACCCCATTCAACCCTGACTATGAAAGTATTTGTTGGAAGGGCTCCTGCACTCCCACCTGTCCACCTATAGGTGAGATACCCCGAAAACACGGTGCTCTATGGTGAACTTTCTCCTTCCTCTGCATAATCTGAGGCTGCTGCACTGGTGCTGAGAAAGCCCACCAGGCAACAGGGAAGACTGGGCGGGGAGGGGAACTGCCCCCATCAGTCAGCGGGTACTTGTGTGACTGTCCCCAGTCCATTTCACTATTCTACGTAGGGTAGAAATCGAGGTCTCATGCTGACGTCCAGTCTCAACTTTTTCTCTTGTTGGGAAAATAAGTCAATCTTATTTCAACTGTGAATAGACAGCTCTCTAAAACAGATACACAGATGTCAACAGAAAATAAACAAAGGAGCAAGCAAGCACAAACCTCAAATAATAGGTGGACTTTTGAGCAAGAATTATTGAGGGCAGGATAATTGTCTCAAAGTCCCACAAAGGACCCCCAGACACAGCCACCCCTCCCTCCCCGCAGCGCTGCAGCCTGGCCTTGGAAGTAGAATCTCACATCAGCCTGGGCACCTCTTGCTCAGAAGCCGCAGTCACGGCCTAATGTCCCTCCTGAAAAGGAAAAATACTGATAACATTCGTGGGGGGGTCTCCAGACCCTTCAAACGTTTCCAGAGGACCTCCAGAAGCAGCATTTTAACCGAGGTTAAGTCGAAGACACTGGAATATTTATTTTTGAGATCACCAAGGAAATAAACAAAAATGTCTTATTTTCTTAAGAACCTATGATGTTTGTATTTTAGAATTAAATTCCAATCACATATTTAACACTATCTTCTATTCCTATGAAGAAAAATAGCTGAGTGAAGTGGCACTTGTATAAAGTCAGAGTCAAGTATATGAAAATAACCAATTGCTACAAATGCCAATCTTCAATGTCAAATGATCTGGAGGATTTTAACTTGAAATAGGACAATACATACTTTGGGTCACTGTTTCTTGGTTTCAACACGTCCACCTGTTTTCATTGCTGTTACCTTCTAAAGACAGCAAACAAATAGCAGGCTTCTCCAGGGAGGAAATGGAAGTGTTTTAGTGCCAGCTGTCCCCGGTCAGTTTTATTGGAGGGTTCAAATCTTGGTGTGCCATCTTGCATTAAAAATAGCTGCTTTAAAAGCTGCGTATCCCAAGGTTTATAGGATAATATGAAAATAAGATGATAAATATGTCAAGGAGAAGAAAAATGGCAGGAGAATCGTGTTATGTGCTGATGGGAAAGTGGATTAAAGAACCAACGGAGCAGGGGCGGAAAAACAATTCAGTAAACACTCCTTCCCCTCGGAAAAAAAAACTTTCTCTCAAGGTTTCCCAATATGATCACCGTTTGCAGGGAAGAATTGTTTACCTCCAATGTCACTTTCTAAAAATGCCTTTGCTGTTCGTCTTTTTTTCCACTCAAGGTCTTTATTCATTTAAAGCCCTTAAAGGAGAAGGTGTCTGTTTTCCTTCTCTTTATGCTCACACAGACCGATCAATCCTCTTTGTCCTCCTTCGGCCGCAGCCTGGAGAGGGAAGCATAGTGAACGGGCGACGGGATGTCTTGAATTCCGGCCTTAGCTTTACTGTGTGACCTTAAGCAAGTCCCTTAACCTCTCCACGTAAGGGCTGCCATCTGTGAAGGATGAGGCGTTGGGGGGCGGGCCAGATGATTTATTAGGGCTCTGATGTTCTGTAATTCAGTGACCAGCTCTTGGGAGACGTCCAATCAATGAATGTGGGGCTAACACCCTGGATAAGCCTCCTTTCCCTTCCAGCCTCGGTTCCGATTCTGTGGGATGAATGATCAACAATGATATGACAGCTGCACGGAGGTTATCTGTCCATCACTGGGACGTGGCGAACAAAATAAATCGGAGAGAGGCATCAGAAGAAGGGTGTGATGAGGCTGAAGGGGAAATCCACGCACCCAGCTGGACTTCCTCTTATTTCAGGCACCTGGGTGCCTCCCGGCCCTCCTTCCTTAGCAAACAGTCTTAGTGCCAAAAGAGGGAGTGGGGCAGGAAAGGGGATATGGGGCCAGTGTTTCTGGAAAAGGGCTTTCCAGTGCTCGGCTGGCTGGGAAACTGATTCCTCTCCTGGCATTTTGGGTTCTCACGGGATTCTAGTACCTGATTCACCACCACAGGGAATCAGCCTCACTGTCTTGGAATCACAGAGCAATGGAGCCTTAGAAATCCCCTGGTTCCACCTCCTCGCATTATAGGGAGGAAGCAAGGCTCAAAAAGAAGTGACAATCAGGTGAGGCTTAGGCTGGGAAGGGGCTGGCCAAGGCAAGAGGACTCGGGGTTTGGAATTTCTCCTCCTCTCAAGGCGTCTCACCTCTGTCACCGCTGCTACTGGTCCACATGGAAGACACCCCCCACCCACCCACCAAGAAGATTCCTTAGGAGAGCTGAGGCAGATCTTAAACTTTTAAATTTAGAATTTAGAAGGCTCATACTATTAACAGGAGACAAAAGGCAAATAAGAAGTAAAAAAAAAACCCAGAAGTATAAAAATGGTTTGGATGTACAAAATGCAATGTTCTGCCCCTGATCCCTTAGCATCCTACACAAAGATTTTTTTTTGGGTACAGGAAACAGAAAATCAGTCCACGCAGGCAGGCAGGCAGGTGAAGGAAGAGTCCTGTGACAGGACTGGCAGGTCGTTGGTCACCCCCTCCCTCCTTTTCCTGGATCTCCCTGTCTCCCTGCTTGTCCACTCCATTCTATCAGCAGATCAGATCATCCCCTCCTGGGCTTGTGGTTTCTTCTCCTCCATAACTTCCCCATGCGTTAGCTGGCTCCCTATTTCTGATCCAGGCCAGGGGGAGCACCTGAGCCACCGTGGTGCCAGGATGCTCCCTCTCCCATGTCACTGCCATCCCCGACCCCCACCCCCTGTTAACTTTTCAGCAACCACAGCGTTCCTTCCACATCATCATGCACCTCTAGTAAGAGAGGCAGCGTTTGATACCAGTTCAGAGAGCTTGAGTGACTTTCCCAAGAACATACAGCTAAAAGCGTGAGCAATGGGGAAAGGACAGATATTAAATTAAAATTAATCCCTAAAATGTCAAATAAAACTGACTTCAAAGCAAAGATTTTGCTTCTCTGCGGAGAAAGCTCCTGATAATCAAAGATTTCTACCAAACTGAGGACTGAGACACTGCTTGAACAAAAGGCCAGGGAGCAAGCCCTTGTGTTCTGATTTAGAATTAAACAGCCAACAGGCTCATGACTGCACTTAATACAACAGGAGCGCTAAGAGGCCAGATGAAAGGACAGCCAGAGCAAGCAGCTGTTAGGTGAACTCCAGCAAACAGAACGAGCCTAGCCAAGCAGCTGCATTTTAGCTGCCGTCTGGATCCACAGGTGCCAAGTGCCCCCTGGACCTTCACTATGATTTCGTTTTAGTTCCCAGTTTCAGTATAAATGGAACTGAATTGCACATGTGCCTCTGAACTTTGTAATCAACCCTAGGATATCAACATTGGAAAACAGCTATGGAATAAAGCAAAATAGTGGTTTTGCTCCATTTCAAAATGAAACACACTTTTCTCTGCTCGTGGTTCTTTGACAGGTGCCTTATGTTTTATCTCTGAGTTGGGCTGCATTTCCTTACCCTCTAATTTAGCCCACCCACCTCAGCCCCAGACTGAACACCCTCAGTCACACTCAGATGAGCCTCCCTTTCTGCCCAGAAAAAAAGGAAGGACACTCAGAGGCTCCCGTGGATCAGCTGAGCCAGAGACTGTGGGGAAATCAGGGTTGGGGGAGGAAGTGAGGTGTCTGGGGGCAATGGGCAGAATAATGGCCCCAAAGCTGCCCACGTCTGAATCCCTGGAACCCGTGGAGATGTGACTTCATATGGCAGGAGGGACTTTGTGGATGTGATTAAAGTTAAGGCCCCTGAGATGGGAAGGGTGTCCCAATGTGATCACTTGAGTCCTTAAAAGCAGAGACCCTTTCCCAGCTATTATCAGTCACAGAGAGATGTGACTATGGAAGAGTCATGAGAAAGATGTGACAGCTGCCTCTGAGGTTGGAGGAAGGGGGCCTTGACCAAGAAAAGCAGGCTGGAGGACAAGGCAGTGGCGGTCTCCGAGAGCCTTCGGGAAGGAGCACAGCCCTGCCAGGGAGACCCATGTCGGACTTCTGACCTTCAGCTGGAAGCCAAGATGTATGTTGTTTAAGCCACTAAATTTACAGCAGAAATAGGCAACTAATACACCTGGCAAGGAGGACCATTCTGTCCCATCTTCTTGAGTCTGCAGCAAAGGGGTGGGGGTGGGAGGGAGCCTGAGGCAAGAGCCACAGCGGGAGGGGCCCAGGAGCTGCAAATCCTGAGGCAGCACAGGACTTCAGGGCAGGAAGCAACTCTGGGGCCTGGACTTCATGTTGCTGTCACCAGGGGAGCTTTTAAAAATGCTGATGATTGGGCCGCATCCCAGACCTGTTAAACTAGAGTCTGGCAAATACCCAGAAGCTGGTATTTTCATCTGTAGCCAAGGTTGAGAATCAAGTCCCCGAGAGGGGAGGAAAGGGGCAGCTCGACTTCCAGGTGCAAGTGGCCATGGCCCACAAGTCTCTCCGGCTCCCGCCCAGTCCTCTTCTCATGCCCTCGGGCTACCCTGCCTGTACAGAAACTGACAGGATCCAGAACAGCCTGGGAGGGTGCTCCAGGGCCCAGTGGCACAGACCGCCTCCATCCCCACCCCTGCCACTTCTCCGGAGTGACAGGCTGGCGAACACTTGAACCTCACGCCTCAGGCACACCACCCCCGGGCTGAATGAGCTGAGGGCACAGTTCACACCCAAGAATCTTACGCTCTTCCTTTTCCTCACCTCGCTCTCCCAGACGCACAGAGGAAACAAGGACTGCCCTTGACTTCCCCCGCTTCCTGACGGTTCCCCTTGACCTCCCATTGCACGTGGACTGGGCTTATCCCCGGGCAGCCCCTTCTCCTGGAGCTCGTTCTCCCTCGATCCCTAGATCATTCTGCTAGAGGAGCAGATGGCCACTCCCATGCACACTAGAACCACTTGGGGAGCTTTTGAAATCCCAATGCCCAGACCAAACCTCAGATCGGTTAAATCACAATTTCTGAGTGTGGGACTCAGGGATCATTCATTTTCAGAGCTCTCTGGGTACTGCTGCTGGGCAACCAGAGAGTGAAGGCACACGTATTCCGCCAGTGCTGTGCTGTCATCTGGAGGATCCTGCATCCCTGCCCCAACCACCCCCCCGCCTCCCCCCACCCCCGCCCAGGCTGCCAGCCTAGGCTGCAGGAGCACCGCTCTCCTCCCTCTTCTCAGCCTTCCTCCTGTGGTCTCCAGACTTATTTATTCTCCTCCCTTCCTCTTATCACTGGCAGCCCCACTGCTGATTTTCTCAACACTCACAGCATCCTCTAAGACATTGCTACTCAAAATGCGTTCCACCGTATCATCTTGTTAGAAAGGCACAACCTGGGATATCACATCCAACCTGCAGAATTAGAATCTACATTTGAACAAAATCCCCAGGTGACCAGACACAGGCTGAGTTTGGGAAGCACCAAGCACTGTCTGTTGCCAAGGCACTCCATGTCCCTGCGCTTACCAAGCCCTGCGATGTGGAAACAGACTGCAAGCCGGAGAGCCCCCTAGTTCCACAGTAATTCTCAGATCAGCAGATTACACACCCACATTTCCTCCTTTCCTTTATTCCTTTCCTTCTTTCCATAATTCTCTATTACCCTGAACACTCGGGCTAGAAAATCCTAGGACATGGCGCCTGTTCTCAAGTAGGTTATAGTCAATCTTCATGATTTTCTAATTCCATATTTGCAAATTCACCTCTGTGCTGAAATTTACTCGTGTCTCCAAAAACCGGCATTCATGGCACTTTCATTGTCGTTTGTGGACATGCACAGACGGGGGAGTGTTTCACACAGCACTCCCAGCTGAGGTCAAACAAGGCGCTGCTCTGCCTTCCTGTTCCAGCTCATACTGTAACAAGTGTCCTTTTCACAGTCTTTTTAGCACCACATTGTTCTGCTTTTCATTGGGGATATTTTTAATAGTCCCAAGCATAGCACTGAAGCGCTATCCGGGTGTTCTAAGCACGGGAAGGCTGTGCCTGCTCATGGAGAAACTGACGGTATTAGATAAACTTCCTTCAGGCCACTTGTGTTGTCGGTCATGACAAAGTTAATGAATCGGTGATTCCGGACATTCAGCAGAACAAAGAGGAAATCCACTGATCTGTATGTGAGCCTACTCCAGAAAGTGCTAAAGTAATTAATATCTATAGAGCATGATGAAGCTATGGAAAAGGTGAAAAAGTGACTGAACTTGGGAATTCATGAAATGAAAATTGATATTTTTTTTAAAGCATAGTGGATAGCATCGTGAGGCTGAAAGCTAAAAAAATTTACCATAACGTTACCCAGAGTCAGGAAAAAACTCAGCTAGCATTTTGTTATACAGAAATACTACATATAATTAATTATTTTTAAGAAACATATATATTAAACTGGATGTCTTGAAACAGAAACACACATAAAACAAGTTTATATATTGATCTATTGATAAAAATGTGACCAGAGGCCCACAAAAACCTAATCCTGTACTTCCCCTAGGAGCCATGGCTCAGAACTTCCTAATTTGATGTTTGCAGCAACTTTATAGAACAGAATGATCGCGAATAACACGATTTGACAGTGTGTGTAGTATGGGAAAGAGGTGATCCCTTGCTCTCAAAGTGATCAACAGTAAGACAGGGGACACTATGGATGTGGGGTGATCAGGTTCCATATTTCTGTCTTATTTTTTAAATCATAAGATTTAGCAAAATATAATTTTAAAAATTTAAATTTTTTCTGTACAAACTTTTTGAAAGAAAATTTTTATATTTTTTGCTTTTGAAATTATTTGTCTACAAGCAACATTTAATTTATGATCAGCTACGATTTCTTCACAATTTTCAGACACACTCAGGAAATCGTGCAAAGTGAGAAAATCTAGCCCTGGGGCTGGGGCTGGGGCTGGGGTTAGGGGCTAGGGGCAGGGGCAGGGGCAGGGCCAGGGCTAAGGGCCAGAGCCAGGGGTCAGGGGTCAGGGACAGAGTTGAGGGTCAGGGTCAAGTTCAGGAAAGAATCAGCTCTGAGGTCTCATTTTCTCCCAAGGGAATAACTTCCCAGCTAATTTTTATTTCTCGTTCTGAATCTTCAGAGATAACCCTGCTACCCAATTTAACCTCAAGACTCACACAAATTCCCAGGACCTAAAGACAGCCATAGAGAAAATTACCCAGAGAGGAGGGCTTTCTAATGCAGGTACGTGGTCCGGATTCAGATCATCCTGCTACCATGGTTCTCTTTCTATGTGGTTGTCTTCTAACACTCTAGATAGAGGGAGGAAAAAATAATAATCCATCAAGAAATGACTTGTGTAATATCTGTATCTTTTCTAAAGTCTGATTTATCATAGATCCAGGGGTCAAGATCATTATCACGGCCGTGCTGGAGTTCCAGCAGATGTGTTTCCGTGGGATGGTAGCTTTCTTCAGGACCAGTAGGACTGCTATTGCAACTATTTCCTGACTAGTCTATAAGTCATCATCTATTTAACGTTAAGTTTTATTAAAAAAAATTTTTGTAACCAGTTCCATTCAGGAAGCTTCACAGTACCCGTTGGGAAACTTCTTCCAATCAGCTTCTGTTACAGTGATGACTGTGCAGAGAGAGACATGTTGTTTGTGTCAAGCTGAGCCCTCTCCATGCCTTGGCCATGGTGATAGGGTGGGGTGGAGGTGGGTACCAGAATTCGAGGTCAGTGGGGCAGGTCCAGAAACTCCATTTTATCTGCTCCCCAGAGGTGACCAGGCATTTGGAAACAGTTTCACACTAACCAAGCTCCTTGATTCTAGAAATTTCCTGAGGCCCTAGATAATGTGAAGTACATGCTTGACTTCATGAAAGGCATGTTGGGAGGCTCAGTTCCCACATACACACAACCTTTGCTCTCAACTGAGGCAGGCTGTTGACATGGAACCCTAGGCCTAGAGGCCTGGCGTGACCTGCCCAGGCCCACTCGGGTGGGCGGCGCAGCCAGGCTAGAACACATCTTCAGTTCTTAGTGGGGCAGCACCTCCTGGGCCAGCCAGACCTGTGCCCCTGGCGGGACTGGACATGAGATTCCACTGACCCCAGAACACAGTCTTCCATGTCCCGCAGCTCCTGGACCGCGGGGCTCACCCCAAGCCACAGAAGCCCAAGGAGAAGCTCCTGTCACTTCAGGTCAGCTCCTCCCAACCCACACTTTCAGAAACAGCATGGGGTCGGCCTGGGGCCTTAGTGAGGCTGATTCTCAGCACCCAGGCAGAGAACGGACACTTTTGTTCCCTTGAAAGTTTTTCTCACCTGCTTGCCAGTCCCTAAAACTTTTATCATTTTTTTGTTTTTTTTAATTGAAGTATAGTTGATTTACAATATTGTGTTAGTTTCAGGTGTACAGCAACATGATTCAGTTATACATATTTTCCACTATAGATTATTACAAGATAATGATTATAATTCCCAGTGCTATGTAGTAAATCTTTGTTGCTTATTTATTTACGTATAGTAGTTCATATCTGTTAATCCCAAACTCCTAATTTTTTCCTCCCCCACCCCCCTTTCCCCTTAGGTAACTGTAAGTTTGTTTCCTATATGTGTGAGTCTGTTTATTTTGTATATAAATTCATTTGTATATTTTTCTAGCTTCTACATATATCATATAATATCTGTCTTCTATCTGACTTACTTCACTTAGTAGGCAATTCTCTAGGTCTATCTATGTTGCTGCAAACAGCATAGAACTTCTTTTAAAGAAAAAAACAAGAGAGAATTAGAAGTTAAAGGCTTAAGATGAAACTGGGGAGGGAAGTGACTAGGCGTGATGGTTCCACAATATTGTGAATATACCTAATACCACTGAACAGCACACCTACAACCAGTTAATCTGATTTAAAAAGACAACAAGCCAATAAAGGGAGGGAATGACTGTTTTTCTGGACCTCTTTATGCTGCTGTGATCTGTTCTGTGAGCACTCCAAGCATGAGTTTTGTTTTTCTTCCAGGCCGGGCCATCTCCTTTGTGACCAAGAACTTCTTTTCCAAATCTAATGGAAACAGAGGCGGTGCTCCCAATGTGGCTGTGGTGATGGTGGACGGCTGGCCCACGGACAAGGTGGAAGAGGCTTCAAGGTTCGCGAGAGAGTCAGGAATCAACATTTTCTTCATCACCATTGAAGGTGCCACTGAAAATGAGAAGCAGTATGTGCTGGAGCCCAACTTTGCAAACAAGGTATGTGAGAGCCTGGAGACCCACCCAACGTAAGGTTTCCCCACACTTTGCAAAGCTGTAACAGCCATCCGGGGTGTTTCTTCTTCCTTCAAACAGGTTTTAAGCTCATTTCATGGTAGGAGGTGCCTCCAGTGAGACTAGTAGGTCTGGAACCCGGAATTACCTTCTCAAAGCAACCCTCCCCTCCCCACCCAAGCACCTGGTGAACTGAGGCCAGCAGGAGGAGGAGGGTCCCCAGGGTCTCACACAGAGGCTCCCCGGGGCTCCTCCCACAGCCCCAGGGGACCTCGACTGCGCAGCCCAGCAGGCCTTCACACGAGCTGGCACACTGGCACACACACACTGCAAATTAACTGATCTGATAAACAACAAAAACAAAGGTACTAAACCAGGTCAGGGAGATTAGGCTGCCCCTGGGTTCTGCGGGGATGCCTGGCAGGAGCTGGGGGCAGAACAGATGGGGAGCTAGGCCCTCATACCCACTGCCCCCAAACAGCTCATTTTTTGTATATTTTGCATAGTAGAACCCCACATAAACCCTCCTCCACAGACAGGACCCCAGGTTTAAAAAGGAAAGAAGGTAGTTAGGAGGGAGGGGCAGGGGCAGGGGCAGGGGGCTGCCTCGTTCTGGCTTGTCTGTGATGCCCTTGCAGCTCTGAGGTTCTGTGTCTCAGGATCCAGTGGGGCTCAGCCTCCTGCACTAACCCTGCACTTCATCGTCCTTGACATCCTCATCTCCCTCACCTCCCTCACCTCCACGACACGGTGTGGCTCTTACTACACTTACTCTCTCCTCTTCTCCGTCTTATACCCTCAACATGGACTTCCTCAGGACTCAGATCTGGGCCCTCTCCTCTGCTCTCACTAGGTTTTCTCTCTCCAGAGTCTCTCGCAAGGCCACAGCTTCATCCTTCCTTCGCTCACAAGCAGCCACACCCTCATGTCTCCCTCCCTGGTCCCTCTAGAGCTCATTAGCCATCTATTTCCAGCTGATTGGCTGCTCTCCACCTGAAGTCCTGAAGAGCCTTAAATCTTACATATAAAAAGCCAAGTGCAACATCTTTCCAGCCTGCATCCATTCCTCCTCTGACCCCATACATCTCCCAGTCACCAGCATCATCCCAGGACACCTGGGCAGCTCCCACATCACGTCTCATATCTGTCTACTCTTTTCCACGTCCAATGCCACCTCCCCAGTTCAAGCTAGTTCTTTACATCTATTCTTTCTCCCTCCTGGGTCTCCCCAGTTTAGCTCAACTCATGTTTATGAAGAGTTCTTCCAGTCCCGTGGGGTCCCTGCTCCAAATTCTTCATTATTCCCTATTTCTCCTGAGGCCATGTGGCATGTGGTCCCCACCCACCACCTAGACCATCTACTGTGACCGCTACCCACACCCTGTGCTCCAACCACCTGGTCTTCCGTCCACCCAGCACCATCTCTCTCCCTTGCCACAACTCCCTCGGGCCACCTCGTGGGAATCCCTCCTCTCCATCCGTTGGCTGGAATTCGTCTCAGCCTTCATCTCATCTCATGTGCCCCCCAGTCCATGGAAAGTTTTGTGAATCCTACTTAGGTTTTTACAAAACAATTAAAAAATATTGCCTAGAACATTTTAAAGTCATTTCTTGTTTTAAAATAATTTTAAATTCTACTTCATCTGTAGCCATCAGGTCTGTGGCTCTCTCTGTGACCCCTAGAGGGGCAGTGGTGGGGAGGAAACAGTCACTTCCAGGAGCACATCAACCAGGTTGCTCAATGTTGATTTGCAGGTGCCAAAAGTTTTTTCTGGAACAAGCTTGGGCACAAGTAAACAAATATTCACTTGCCTGGAAGCAGGGTTGTCCAGGGGACAGAACCTGGGTTTTGCAGACAGAATAGGTTTGTGTTCCAGGCTCAGGGACTCAAGGATGTCACTTCACAGCTGGCCCTGTTTGTTCCTTCATGACAAAGGGGTTCTAATTCTACTTTGTAGGGCTAAGGTAGGGGTTTAATGAGATAATTTCTCCAAGAACATCTAGCGTGGTGCCTAACATGTGTGGAACCCCTTTTTGCTGGGTGCAGGGCTGCTCTGGAAACATGTCTTTAGCTGTTTGTCGTGTGTGCCTTTTGTCTTCTCAATCGGAACAAAGCTTTCTTTAATCCTCTTGTGGGCTGGTGCCCACCAGTGCCAACCTCATAGGGCTGCCAGTACACGTACTGAGGGGCCTGGAGAGGCATAAATATAAAGCTGAAATCAGTGACTCACCTCTCCCTATGGACCTGCCTAACTGATGGCTCTCCATGAAAGCAGAGACCCAGCTGAGGCAGTGGGAGTGAGTTCAGAGATAACTTGAGGGCACTCTGCTTTGGCGAGTGCCTGGATGGGTGAACCAAGATGGAGAGAGAGCGTTTGGAGGCCAGGCCCAGAAAACGAGTCTGCTGGTCATTCCTCTGCCCTGGGGGTCGAGAGTGATGGTGACAGATTGGAGGATGTGACCCTGACCGGGCAGGTGTCCCTCCCCTGTGTCTTCCAGGCTGTGTGCAGAACCAATGGCTTCTACTCGCTCAATGTGCAGAACTGGTTCGGCCTCCACAAGACCGTGCAGCACCTGGTGAAGCGGGTCTGTGACGTGGACCGACTGGCCTGCAGCAAGACCTGCTTAAACTCAGCCGACATTGGCTTCGTCATCGACGGCTCCAGCAGCGTTGGGACAAGCAACTTCCGAACAGTCCTCCAGTTCGTGGCCAACCTCAGCAAAGAGTTTGAGATTTCAGACACGGACACGCGGATCGGGGCCATGCAGTACACCTACGAGCAGCGGCTAGAGTTTGGGTTTGAGGAGCACAGCAGCAAGGCTGACGTCCTCAATGCCATCAAGAAGGTGGGGTACTGGAGCGGTGGCACCAGCACAGGGGCCGCCATAAACTACGCCCTGGAACAGCTCTTCAAGAAGTCCAAGCCCAACAAGAGGAAGCTGATGATCCTCATCACTGACGGGAGGTCCTACGATGACGTCAGGATACCGTCCACAGTTGCCCATCACAAGGGTAAGTGAGATGGTCCAGCTGCCGAGCATCCCTTGGGCCTGGTTGGGCCAGCGGGACAAGGATGGGACTGTCTCTTTATACACTGGTTTTGTCGACCACCTAATAGTGTTCAAACCATAGGCAGAGCAGGCCCCACTGGGCAGAGAAGAAGGGTCACACAGGGAGCATCACAGAGGTTCCCACCATGTCCCGGCGAGCCCAAGGCCTGCAGGTGACGGGGAGAGTTAACTTCTTTACATCCCACACTCTGAGGCACTGCACATGAAGGGTTGGTACATTAAAAAGAAATTTGACGTATCATTTTACTCTCCATTGAAGACCACCAAACTGGGTTAAGAAACTTGAGGAAAACAGATGTTTGAAAAGAAAAGTACTATTCTTGTAAGCAACTGCGAACCAGATATCAGAGGTCTGGGGGAGACCTCAAAGAACTTTCATTTAAAATATTTAAAGAAACATTCCCATATGAAAACTTGGAAGAGGGCGGCAGAAAGTTTAAAACCATGAAAAATAAGCAAAATATTTTTGTAAATGTTTTGAAACACAGTCCTATTTGAGGCTTTTTTCACAGAATCTGTGTATAATCACTGTTTTGAAGTACCATCAAATACCAGGAAAACACAAACCACCTGAGAAAACCCCAAGAGACAGTAATGATGGTAATGATAATAAAAGTAAACTGAGTGGTCAGCGAGCACCGAAAACATGCAGATAAGGACCAGAGAACAAGGCTCACCCGTTGTGGGGGGAGTTTCTTCTTCTCTACCTACATTTAATTTGGGTTCGTTTGCAGAATTTTCCTTATTCCTTAAAGCTGCTTTTAATCCTTTCCGAAACAAAGAGAGGTATAAAAATAAACAAGCCTTTAGGAACCAGCAGTCCTGGCTTCTAGAAACCGAAGTAACCAGACACTAGGTTCAGACAGTCTTTCTAGCGACTTACTGGGCAGAGCCTGGGGGAGCACTTACCGTGGTGGGACGGCAGGTGGCCCGTGCGCCAGCAGCCAGCAGGCCCCTTGGGCTCGTATCAGCAGAGGGAAGACGGTTTCAGGCTCAGAAGCAATCCGCCCAAAGTTCCAGAGTAGTGGGGGGAGCCTGGTGGACCAGCTCTTGACGACAAGCCCTGGGCTCCCCTGCTTTCTCCAAACGTCTGTCCCCAGCTCACGTTCAGCTCCACTCACCTATTTTCTAGACGTCCCTCTTTGGGACCTCCCCCAGAGGGTCTCAGGGCGGTCTGAGGCGTGGGGAGTCTGGGGAGCGTGAGGGGCTTGATTAGAAAAAGGTGTGCTCGTCTTCACTCTGCGCAGGCGTAACTAAGCTACAGGCCTCCACGTTTAAAGGTCACCAAGCGGGCACCCGCGCATGCCCAGTTGGAGGTCAGTGGGCCTATCCTGTCGTAACCAGCTCAGCTGAACGAGACACACCTGATGCTCAGCTCAGCTGGCAGCTGACTCCAAGTTTCTGGAGAACAACTCGGGCGAACATCTTATTGTTCAGGCTATGTGCTACCTGGAGGATATGCAAGTCTTAAAATGACCTTGATTAGTGAAGGAAGGTGAAATGGATTTGACACCCCACAGTTTCATTTTCATTTAAAAGACCTTGAACTGGCTTTTGATGCATCTAAGACTGAATTCTGTGTGACTCTACACACAGAGCAGGCGTGTACCATGCGGTGCAATCTGCGCCGCATCCAAGTTTCACTTGTCCCAAAATGTCATCCCCTTGCTGCTCCTGGACATGAAATGCCTATCGTGTATTTACTCCATTTTTCTGTTTTTCTTTTCTCCAAAAGACTGTAAACTCCTATGAGACAGCAACTCATCAATTTTACTGCTGCTGGCATACAGCAGATGTTCATGCTTTGGGCACAGTCCTGATTTCAGATTTGGTTGTGTTCAAGCACAATAGCCAAGAGAGTGGCAGGAAGGCAAGGATTCATCTCAGTGCTTTTCTTTGGTGACATTTGCTTCATCTACCTTCTGTCCCCACAGGAGTGATCACCTATGCAATAGGCGTGGCCTGGGCTGCACAGGACGAGCTGGAAGTCATTGCCACTCACCCTGCCAGAGACCATGCCTTCTTTGTGGACGAGTTTGACTACCTCTACAAATTGGTCCCCCAGGTCATCCAGAACATTTGTACAGAGTTCAACTCACAGCCTCGGAACTGAATTCAGAGCAGGCAAAGCACCAGCAAACGCTCTTTCCCAACCGGCTCAGGCACAACCCCCAACGCCGCAGGGGACACACGTGGGGCAGCAAGGCACGCAGGGCTTGGAAATGACGCGTTGTTATTACTCTTTGCCAGTGTGGGTTTTCATACTTCAAACCTTGGAGTTAGAAATTGATTGTAAATTTGTAGAATGAGCCAAAATGATAGGTCGTTTTGGGAGTGCTGGGGATTTTACATTTGGAGAACTGTCTTCAAAATAAATGTTGAGAACAGAACATGGCACTTACAACAGGCTTAACTAGCGCTTTTGCGAGGTTTTTAACATTTTAATTTCCCATTAGAATTCTGTAACTCTCCACAAGTTTCAGTTTTGTCATGACAATATAGGAGTTGCTTAATTAAATGTCTGAAAAGCTTTCATGCAATCCCTCTGACCGTGTCACGAGTAGTGTTCACAGGCTTCGTGGCAGGGCCACCCTCTCTGCTCCTCTCATGTCCTAGAGCATGTGCACCCTCTCCTGGCCCAAGGTGACCACACACCCACGGGGGTGCAGAGAAAATGTTGCCACAGCACGGCTGCTCCCGATTCACCTCCCTTGTCTCTGTTATCCCAATCACTATGTTCCTGTGACATCTAGAGCAGTCGGGGAACGGCCCTGGAGGACCACGCTGAGCTGGCGTTGAAAGCGGTGCGGACGCTCTCGAGCTGCACATCAGAGTCCCATCCCAATACCGGTGGAAGCTGTGTCTCTGGGAATGGAGCCTGAAGGCCAGCGGGTTTGGAGAGCCCTCTGGTGGTACTGATGAGCTGCCAGGACTACTGACAGACCTACAAGGGGTCACCAGTAGAGCTGTTTATGCCTGTTGTTCTGGGTCCCATTTAGTTTAGCATTTGTCTTGGAGTTTTCATTTGTTAAATAGATATTATTATTAATAGTTGCATTAAAATAAGCCAGACTGGGTTTGATTGGACCCCAGTTTTTACTTCATCTATTAGGACATGAAACTACATACGCATAGGGAAACATTCAGAAGAATCCTAAATAGAGATGACTTTCTTGACAAGTTATGTTCTGTAAAAATGTATGTTGGAGAATGATACTCTAAACGGAGGCCAAAAGATAGTACTTGTGTCAATACTTGGGACAAAATATTTACATAGAAATTTTGAATTGAAAATATCATCCGTTTAGCAGAATTTGCAGAGAGCTTACCAAATCTCTCAATACCTGAGGCATTATCGCCGGTTAAAAATCTTGTGGTCTATAGAGAAAGGTGTCAGCAATTTCAAATTTATTAATTATACATTTTACTTTGAAAGCAGTTGCAAGCGGATTTGTTCAAAAACTTCAAAATACAGTGGGGGAGGGTATAGCTCAGTGGTAAGAGTGCATGCCTAGCATGCACAAGGTCCTGGGGCTTGAACCCAGGACCTCCATTAAATAAATAGATGAATAAACCTAATTACCCCTCCCCCCCAAATTATTTTTTAGCTTCAAAATACAAAAATTAGCTTCAAAAAGGAGATTCTTCATAAAAATACCAGTGACACATTAATGACAGATTAGCTAAGAAACTAATTAAGGAGCTTAAGTACTAGGAACAATCATTTTGCCTATGATTTTGAATGTGCAGATAATTGACATAAGGGAGTTTTTTTCAATGTTACTTCAATGTATGCATATGAGTTAACTTTCTGAAGAAAAATTTTATTTTGGAAAATAGTTTTGGAATAGAATTATTTTATAGGGACCTTAATATAAAAGCCAACTTGTCATCAATAAGTAAATACTTCCAAGAATAATATAACTTTAATTATTTTGGGTGTTCTCTTTCATTCACAAGATTGTCCCAGTTTGGAAAATAAATTATATGGTCACCCTAGTTACAGATATTGTAATTTTGAAGATAAATGAAACCTCTTCAAACGTGCCCATTGTTGACATGCTGTCAACACATATTTGAGTGTGTGCTGTGTGGAGGAAAGGATCATCACAAGTGAGGTGGCCGAGGCCCTCAGAGGCTACGGTCTCATCAGAACTGTCCGTGTGATGTTCAGGTCACCAGAGGCAGTGTGACAGGAGTCGGGATGGAGAAAGAAGCAGTGAGCCAAGCTCATGCATACTCAGTGGATGAGAGAAGGTGACAGGGAGGTTGGAAGAGGACAGCAGTGACAGGGCTGGAAGGCCGAGGCAATATCTTCAGGGGAGCTGGGAGCAGATCTATCCCAATTCCTGAAACACACGGAGTGAAAAGGCACAAGCAGCCTCCACTCAAGCGGGTTGAAGAAGACAACTGGGCTTCTGGCAAGTGGGGGCGGGAAGGGGTTGAGACCTCTGGGGGCTCACGGGCAGCCGAGAGGAGTGGGAAGGCTGGGATGGGGCTGGGGCAGGGTTTGCACAGAGCAGGGTGGAGGCTAGGGTCCTGGTGGTGATGGGTCCCCTGGGAGGCTTGCATATAAATGCCACATTGCTCAACCTACACTGTGTCCAACACGGCTGGACCACCACTGAAATCTTTAACACCAGAGACAGAACCTGAGAGACAATCTACCTCAAACCCTCCAATGACAAAAAGGAAACCCAGGCCAGAAGAAGACTGTACAGCTGCGAAGGGACAGAACTAGAATTTAGATGTACTATTTTCCCATCTTCTTACTCATTTGACTGCCTTCTTGTGGGGGGAGGTCAGAAACCCATCCTCGCCCCCATTCCACAAACACACTCCTGCTTTTGTACACTCAGGGGCTCTGGTCCAGCCTTTGCACAGCTCTCTGGGTCCTGCCGACTTCCAGCCAATCTCCTAAGGCAAATCTTTCATTCTGTGGTCTCAGCAGAAAATCCCTTCTGTGCCCTTTCTGCTCCAAGTCAACCCAAACAAGTAGACAAGGAGCATCAGGCCAGGTTCTCTGGGTACCTGTGATGTCTATACTCCATTCAACTTAACTGTCCCACCTCTTGGGAGTTAGACCCCTGTGAAAGAGGTTTCTTGACTATAAGTTTTGCAACAAGGCTCTGCTAAAAAATTTTCAGCCAAACTGACAGGCTTCAGGTATTTCTTATTTCTCTGGGCTCTTTCAACCCTCTGAACAGGACAAAATCTCCATGAAGCAAGTTCTCCGGCAGTCTCAGGGGGCCAGCATGGTTTTGCAAAGAAGAGGATGCTTCTGTGACCAAGGCTTTTCCAGCCTCAAAGAGGAGTTTCCAAATAATAAAGTTATTTTCCAGTCACAATCCTAAGAAAAGTTCTCCTCTAAGGTTCCCAATAGATAAGTAGGAAATATGCTTGAATGCATGAATTCAATTACTTTGAAAAGAGGTATTTATTCAACTAATGGCTTTAAGGAATTCACAGTCCAGTGAGAAATCACACACAAATGAATAATTAAAATCATATAATTAATATCACGGGATTATGCACAAAGTACATGGATGGCAACTGCAAACAACCTCATGAGAAAAAAAAAATCATGAAGTGCCTGACAATTAGTGAGTGGGTGCTGCATGCTGGGCGCTGTTCACATGTATTAACTCACTTATCCCTATGATTTGCTGAAAGAGGTACTATTATTATTCTTACTTTACAGATCACACAACCTAGGTATGAAGACGTTGAGTAACGAAAGAGATAGGGCTGGAAGAGGCAGATCTGGGAATTAAACTGGGCAATCTGACTCCAGGATCTAAATGCTTAACCACTTTGCTTCTTATGATGGTGGCACACGAAATAACCGGAGTGGCTGCATAGAGGAATCTCTGGTAAGCTTGACAATTTAAAATATATGTATCTTATATATAATTCTGCCAACTGTGTGCTCAGCGTCTATTAAATGTACAAAGGTAGGAGTCAAACATCCAATGTAAACTGCACTTCCCTCATCACTACTCCTGCTTCTCTGGACAACCACCCTCCCTTCACTTAAGATGGGTGATTTCTAATCTACAGTCCACAGTCCCTGAAGCTCCCTGAACACACTGGGCTCCCCATCCTCTTGTTAAACTCCTAATCATCCTTCAAGTCTCAGTCCAAATGCCACCTCCTCTTTGGAGCCTTCCCTGATTTGCTCAGATAGAGTTAGGCTCTCTGGATGCAGAATCCTGACCTACCTGTTTTCCAGTGACCTCCTTAGTCCCTTCTCATTAGGGGAATGCAATCCACACACATCATCAAGGACATGGAATTCAGGGAATGAGAACTCTGAATCTAAGTCCCCTGACAGTGCCAACCCCTAATGCAATGGCACTGGTGGAATGGGATGCAGAGGTATTTCAGGAAGAGAGAAACAGGATTTGATGGCGAGGAAGAGAGAGAATCTGACTCCATGCAAGACTGCACCACTCTTCCGAATGGCCTTTGGAGGTTCGCTATGTATGTGACAACCACTGTTTTTCAAGGGCTGGAATCCTCTTCTGGTAGTAACCCCCAGGGAAACTCTGGTCCTCAACTTCCACTCCCTTTTTCCTGCAGAAATGAAAATCCCATTTTCTGTTCCCCTTCTTGAGTTTCATTCAACAAGCATGTTTTAAGCACCTACTATGTGTCAGACATTGTGACAGGTGCTGGGGTCCAAAGACAAATAAGACCTGGTCCTTGCTCAAGGAGCTAGAGAGGGAATGAGGCTTGGAACAGTGTGACACATAGAGAGAGTGACAGCATGAAACTTGAGGCTGAGGCAGGGGTGTCAGGAAAAGAAGCTGGAGAGAGAGGCAGGGGCCAGGCCAGGGAAGGCTGTGTTGGTTCAAGTTCTCTCAGTTGCAAGTGACAGAAACTCAACTCAGTAGCTCAAGCAGATCTTTGGAAGGGAACTCAAGGAACTTATGAGCTCCAAGGTCAGGAAGACAGCAGAGCCTCAGAAAGGAGAGGAGGGACAAGAGAGGACAGGAGAACCGGGTAGCCCTCTCATTCTCCTCTCCTCCAGAGTGACCTTCCTCTGGAAAACTGTTGAACAACCGGCAGAGACAGAACAGAGTGAAACTTCCCAGCCATTAACGGTTGACCTCGTGATGCAGCCTCCTTTAGCAGGGCCACCGGCAAACCCAGCTGATGTGGCTGCTTGGGGATGGGCACCCCCATCGTTCTGTCTGATCACCTTGCCATTAATAACCTTTTGAGTTTCCTTAAAGCATCAAGTCTTCCTGAATGCCAGCAAATTCATGTCCACAAGTTCCCAAGTTTGGAAAATCAAATGCAGGCTGAATAGCTGTCTTCCAGCTCTGCAGTCTCCCTCTGTTTTGCTTAGAAGCTTTCCCCAAGAAAACCAACGACTGTCTAAGGCTCCCTTTCACTTCTCTTGGCCTCCACGGCTATGAGATATTACTTGTTTACAGGCCGTTAGCCGGTGAAAATCATTCAGACCATCAGAAGTGCTGCCTCCGGGCTCCACCTCTGCTTTTAGTTGAAGGCCTAATTGAGGAGAAACGTACTA